CTCCCACCCCTGGTAACCAACAAAGAAAATGTCCTCCAATATATAAACCTTTCCTTAACTTTTACAATAACGGACTAATACAATAGTTGTCCTTTTGTGACTGACTTATTTCACTCAGCATAATGTCCTCCAAGTTCATCTTGTGGTATATTCTTGTCAGAGCAGCACTAGGTAATCAAAACAGGAGCTCACCCATGCATCTGTTATTTGTACTCTCAAAATAAAACAGGGACCAAGGACTCTCCTGGGAGGGAAGAAGGCAGACCTAGCCACTTCTCAATGAGACATGTCAGATCTGTGAGGAACTTTTAATGGAAAGGTCTGCCCCTATGCAGCCATCCTGGTAGATGATTTGCCTCCAAGGGAAGTGACTATGTCCATTAAGAGGCGTTCCCCATTGCACACCACTTAACCCTGGGTGGAATGGACAGCTGTGCACAGGAGCCTTTCTACACTCACCATTACTGGGTGACTGACAGTGTAGGCTGTTCTAAATCTGAGGTTGTCTAGACTTGGGTCACCATAGTGACATTTGCTCCAAATAGGGCATCATGAGGGACTCTTAGGGTTTTCAGGGAACCTTTTGCCTCAGCTACTACTATAGTTCTTGCAGGAACTAATGCAAGACCAACACTTATCCCCATTTTGACATCTACCCCTGGGGGCTGTGCATTAACAACAGCAGGGAAACCCTGAAGACAAGCAGGACCAGCAGGTGGTGCTCTCTGGAAAGCAATCTCTGAGTTCTATACTCTTAGAAGCAAACAGATGGACTCTTTCCCTGATTTTGTGAGCAAAATGTGCTGGATATCTTTGTCAAAGAAATAATTGCCCCTGTCAGTTAAAGCAGGAAAGGATGACTTTATTCAAAAAAGATTATAATAAGAAGGAGGGGAGGACAAGAGAGGGAAAAGGACTAAAGGAAAAAGAAAGGGTTATTGTAATGAGATGGGGACTTTTTCAAGGGAAGAGACACTAGAACTAAGTCTGAGTTCCTACTTTGCTGAAGCAGAGTTTGGGAAGGTTTCTAAGGACTAAAGTGACCTAATGGAAAAATCCTGAGGTACTGAAGGATGTTGAGGGGAAGTTTAGCAATAGTATATGTAGACCACACGGAGTTATCTTCTGAGTTTACTGTTAAGAGCATATGGCCAAAGGAGAGAGAGGTCAGAGACTTAAAGTCAGAAAAAAGCCTGCCTAAAGTTTAGTGAAACTGAGGAGAACACTAATGTTCTTGGTCATCTGTTTTCCAAAATGCAAAAGGGCAGCAAGATTTCAGGATCACAGAGTTCTGGTAAAATTTCACATTATCATCTTTCGTTTGCCCTCTAAATACATTCTCCATCCTTCTTGTCCCTGCTCTGTACCCACAATGCACTGCACTGCCTCAGCAGGTTCTGCCCAGCTCTGAGCCTTCCCAGGTGTTAGCCACTGGTAGGAGATCAGAGGGCAAGAAGAGGGGAAGTGGAGGTTTTTATTCTCCTGATTCCCTTCTCGTTGGGTCTCTAAGAAGCTTCTGTTTCTCTTCCTGAGCCTACACTTCCTGTCTCTCCATACAGAGTTCTCTCTCTCTTCTTCCCCTCAGGAAGTCTGTCTCCCTTTAGGCATAGATATGGTAACATCTCCCCACAGTTACCAGCTCCAAGAGTACTAGATTAGCACACTGCCTCTTGTTGCATTCCCTGATCCTGCTTCTCACTGCCATTGGAGTTGATTTCGACTCATAGAGATCCCCATTGGGTTTCCGAGGCTACAAATCTTTACAGAAGTAGATGGCCCCATCTGCCTTCCGCGGAGCAGTTGGTGGGTTTGAACCGCTGACCTTCTAGTTAGCAGCCAAATGCCTTATCCACTATGCCACTGGAGTTCTTTTACATCACTGTAAATAGTCCCTTTCTTAGAAACCAGTTATTATAGACTCCAACTAACAGCAACTCCATGTGTGTTAGAGTAGAACTGTGTTCATAGAGTTTTCAGTGGGTGATTTTTCAGAAGTAAATTGCCAGGACTTTCTTCTGAGACACCTCTGAACCCCTTTCAGTTAGCACTTGTTGTTGTTGTTGTTGTTATGTGCCGTCGAGTCGGACTCGACTCATAGCAACTCCTCCTTGGGTTTCTGAGGCAGTATCACTACAGAAGTAGATTGCCCCATCTTCCTTCTGAGGAGTGGCTAGTGGGTTTCAACTGCCAGCCTTCTGGTTAGCAGTCAAGTGCCTAAGGCGCTACGCTACCAGAGCTCCCTCAGTTAGCAGACTAGCACATTGTTAGCATCATCCAGGGAGTCCTCCTGTTTCCTGCTGTTACCTGCCACTACCCTGACTAATAGAACAACTTTGAGGTCCTTGGACACATCTTAAGCAGCATTAAGCAGTGGTTAAGGGATTGGCTGCTAGGCCAGCACTTCAAACCCACCTGCCACTCAGTGAAAGAAAAACGTGGTAGTCTGCTTCTGTAAAGCTTTATAGCCTTGGAAACCCTAAAGGGCAGTTCTACTCTCCTATGGGGTCATTATGAGTCAGAATCAACTCTACAGCAGTGGTTTTAGTTGGTTCATGTGGAAGGTCAAAGTGGAAGGCCGAAGGTGCCCCTTGCTGAAAACTGCAGAACTTTAACAGACTAACAGGCATGATCAAAATAGACCTTAATCGTAGTGACTAACTTGCTATTTTCCCCTCCCTTTTGTTTTCACCAGGCTGAGTTCTTTAGGTTTGTTATTTTCAGTTACACATTCTTAGGGTTATTTTCCATTACACCTTCTCTTATGCACAGCCCTCTCCCATGACTGGTTTTGGCTGAGGACCATAATCCAAGAAGCAGAACGACCCTGGAAAGAGGGACACCAAGTCAGGAAACAGAAAACGGAGAACAGAGACACTGCTGGCAGTCCAGAGGCTCTTCAACCCTTTCCCGTTTCCCTATAATCATGTTTACCCCTTTGCAGGAGGAAGCAGACATTTTAGAGAAGTGACTCTCTCCGTCTCCTTGGGCATCCATACTCAGTAAACCTTTTGCTTTCCCGCTTCAACCTGTTAATGATCATTGGCTTTATGCGACAGAAGGTAAGGATCTTGTTGTTCCTACAACAGTTTGGACATATCTTGGGAAGGTAATTTGGGAAGAACTACACTTCCTGCTTTAATGTTCAATTGAACATTAAAAGAAATGTGAACTTATCCCTCTCATCTCCTCCACTTCCCAAACCTGGTGAAGCAGAGCACAAATCCCAGCATTTGCTTACACATCTGTCCCCTCAGATGGGAGCACCTAGAGGGTAATATTCATCTTTGGAATCCTGCAGATAACAGATGGTCAAGAAATGCTTATCGACCATAACTGAACTGAGACTTTGGACAAGTAGCTTGTCTAAGGCCTCAGTTTCTTCATCTGTGCAATCTCTCCAGGTACGTAGTTAACAATAAAAGGGGAGTAGGAGCAAAAGGTTGTTGGGAGTGCTTTTAATTAAATGTTTTAAATGGCACATTAATTAGTTCGTTGTTTGAAAGCAAATGGGCATTTGAAGGAGGTGCTCCTTCCCCTTAAGTCATTTATAGAACAAGAACTAGATTATATGACAGAACCACACAGTGACATATGCTACTATGATCTAATATGACACCAAAATATCCACCCACATATTACTGTGACAAAATATATTGTAAAACATTGTGTACAGCATGATTTCAATTTCATAAAAACTCATACCCATCTATGTGCAATGGAAAGGGAATCATTCTGGGAACGGATGGTTATTGCCAAATGTTGTGGGAAGGTGTGGATTTATTTTGTGCTTATTCTTTTTGGCATAGTGCCTAAGGCATTTGACTGGTAACCTGAGGGCTGGGGGTGCAAACCCACCAGCCACTCCTCTTAAGGAAGACTGGGCAATCTACTTCCATAGAGATACTGCCTTGGAAACCCAAGGAGGGGTAGCTATGAGTCGGATCCCACTCCATGGCAGTGAGTTTATTATTATTATTATTATTTTTACAATGGCGTTTTTACAAATAAAAAAAGTACAAGCTATTCTCATTGGAGGAAGCCAAGAAAGAGGTGGCTCTGGCCTGCGGGAGACGCTCCCTGCAGCCAAGCGAAGTAGTGGTGCAGGAGATGAAAGCTTGAGGAAGCCCGAGGAGCTGCAAGCCCGGCGGCGCGCACTCCACTTCCGGGCCGCGGCGCCGGCGGGGGCGGGGCAGGGATGGGGCGGCTCCAGGCGCTGGGCCCTAGGAAGGCCAGGGTGGGCCTTGGAGCTGCGCAGAGCAGCCAGGGCCGTCATGGGGCCACCTGAGGCGTTGCTGGTGATGGGCGTGAGCGGCTCGGGGAAGTAGGTACCTGGAGGCCCGGTGGGCGTAAAGACTGGCCGCCGCGATCCGGGCTGCCGGGACGGGAGGGCCCTGGGGAGGCGCTCGCCCTCCCCTTCGCACAAGAGGAAACTGAGTCCCGGGGCACCTGAGTGGCCCGAGGCACCTGTTCCCATTCCGTTCCCTCAAACCTTAGGGTATCTGTCCGGGGATCCCGTCCGAGACTAGGGTTCTCTATCTATAAAACGGAGAGGATTTCAGACGCCAACCAGGGGAGCCCTTTGTAAAGAGCGCTAGCGGGGCGTAAACAGAGTGAAGAGCCTTTGCCGGGAGGAAAGTCCGCTCCCCACGGCACCTGGGGTGACGAAAGGACACACATTTCCGTGTTTCGGTGTATCTTGTTGGAACAAGGTGGGCGGGTACAAGGCCCAAAGTGAGGGGCCAAACCACCTCCCAGGCTTTTAACAGACCTTTGTCAGCGGGAGCAGAGGGGCTGTCGCCCTCCTACGAGGACCTGAATTTTTCTAATTAGATTTTGGAACGTGAACTTAACCATTTATTTGGTCTATTGGTTTCTCCTTTCTTTGGCCAGTGTTTATCAGCTTGAAGCTGGAAAAAAGGAAACAGTGTTAATATAGAGGGCGGCTCCTGAGCACCGTGGAGGGAAGGAGGGAGGACTGGGAGCACACAGGTTCTCCCCAGCCCAATTTGGCCACACTTCCAGTGCAGAGAAGTAGCTGCAGCAGTTTACCAGGTGCAGCAAAAGATGGGACTTAGTCCATTGAAATACATCTTTCAAAGGCCTAAAGTACCTGTGGAGCCCTGGTGGCCCAGTGGGTGGGTGAATAAGTGCTTGGCTGCTAACTAAAGTGTTGGTTGGAACCCAGCAGCCACTCTGCGGCAGGAAAATGTGGCTGTCTGCTTTTATAAGGATTATAGCCTTGAAAATCCTGTAGGGCAGTTCTGTTCTGCCCCATAAGGTCACTGACGACAATAGGATTGGTTTTGTGTTTTATAATACCTCTAGAATTTTCTAGAAGTAATTGCCCACATGGCTAAGTGTTTATGAAAGGATTTTTGCTCCAGGTAGCTGATACAGCTTTCCAAAATTAGTGTGGTGTTTTTAGTGTCAAAATTGGGAAATCGTGAGCTGAAATTAAAATAAAAAATGGAGCTTTCAAATCCCTATGATTTGAAGAAGTTAGAGAATGGAAAACTGCTGCAATAATATGATGCAGTAGGAGACAAGAAACCTAGGACTTGGTTCTCCTGCTGCCTGGCTGGTGAACTTGGGTGAATTCATGTACCTTTCTAAGCCCTGGTTCAGATGAGGGAGCCCTGAACCACATAATTTACAGCTTATGATATTCATGCATTCAGTAAATATTTAATGAGTTTGGTGCCTTATTTTAGGACATTGTCATATAGTGAACAAGACAGATAAAATTCCTGCCCTCAATGAGTTCACATTCTAGTATAGGTGACAGAAATGCATACGTAGTGTGTCAGGTGGTGATGGGTGCTCTAGGGAAAGATAAAGAGTTAGAACAAGGAGTCTCTGGGTGGTGCAAATATATGTACTTAGGAGCTCTGGTAGCATAGTGCCTAAGGCACTTGACTGCTAACCAGGAGCTGGCGGTTCAAACCCACCAGCCACTCCTCGGAAGGAAGGTTGGGCAATCCTACTTCCGTAGTGATAACTGCCTCGGAAACCCAAGGAGGGGTCGCTAGGAGTCGGGGCTGACTCTATGGCAAATAACAACAACAACAACAACATGTGCTAACCAAAAGATTGGAGGTTCAAGTCCACCCAGAGGCTCCTAGGAAGAAAGGCCTGGAGATCTGCTTCCAAAAAAATCAGCCATTGAAAACCCTGTGGAGCACAGTTCTACTCTGACACACAAGAGGTCGCCATGAGCTGGCGCAACTCTAGGACAACTGGTTTTTGAAGTAGAACAAAAAGCTCTAGGCAGGATGGTTAGGGAAGGCTTCTCTGGGAAAGTGGTGTCTGAGCAAAGACCAACATGAAACAAGGGAATAAGCCACGTGGATAGCTGGGCAACGGGAGGGAAAAGTAAACACAGTCACTTAGTTGTGACCCAGATATGAGACCCAAGCCCTTTTCAGTAGAACATGCTGCCTGATAGGATATGAATGTATCATTATCAGATGCTTTACACAACCTTAGCAAGTGCTGGTAATTCTCAAGCCATTGGCTCATGTCCTTTATTTTAAAGAATATGTCTCTTTTAAACCCCAAACAATATTTAACTGATTTTATGAGCCCCCTGGACCTTGCATGGATACTACCAGAGGTTAAATTCCCCCATCACACTCCTCTGCACAATAGCCTCAAGTAGAATTTTGTCACTTTATTAATTTAGAATTTTCTCTAAAAAAAATATAAATATCTAGAAAACAGGGACCAAAAAAAGCAATTATTGAAGAAAAACCTTCAGGAGGTTAATGAGATCTTATACATTGCCTTTTGAAGAGTAGAATAGTAGTAACTGATTAATCCTTCATTTAAATTCCTGGAGAACAGTAAAGCCATTCTTTAGAATCCAGGGTCAAGCGCATCATTACTTTAACACCATAAAGTTATTGCGCTTTCAGTACTGTCTGGGGCAGCCTTCTGTTTACCAGGCATCCTTGGATCTGAAGAAATGCACACATGTTGGGAAGGAGCAGTAATTTAAACATCTGTGTCCTCTCCACAGATCGACTGTGGGCGCTCTGCTGGCATCTGAGGTACCCATTCTGAAGTCTCCTAAATGGATGGTCCTCTTGGGTCTGGTCTCATTGCTTCTCTCCCTCTGCCCCTTCCTTTCTACTGGCTGGTAAACAAACAAAACCCAAATCCATTGCCGCTGAGTCGATTCCAGCTCATGACGACCCCTTGGGTTACAGCTGCTCCACAGCTCATAGGGTTTTCGTCTTTATGGAAGCACGTCACCAGGCCTCTGTCCTGTGGCACATGTGTATGGGTTCAGACTGCACCACCCAGGGACTTGATGGCTGGTAGTGGATTATAAAACTGACCAGTCGGCCGCAGACCTTCCACACAGCTTGAGATACCTCCATGGTAATGACAAATAGAGCTGCAGCAGCCCAGTGACAGGGTGGTGAAGTGATGTTATGAGGCTCTTCACTTCCGGTGCTGTGTAGGGGTGTCATCAGGCTAATGGTGGGGCAGAGGGTAGTGGTATTTGTAGGAATTCTATTTCTGCCCCTGCCCAGTTAGTGTTAATAACCACATAGTGGCTATCACACAGAGTGAACTGCCTGCTACTTATACCGTCTCACTTTATTAAAGCTGGGATGGAAATTCTATGATGCTGATGACTATCACCCTGAAGCAAACCGGATGAAGATGAGCAAAGGGATCCCGCTGAATGACCAGGTAATCCTCACTGTCCGTTTCCAAAGCAAATCTTCCATCTGGGTAATTCAGAGACCTCTGTGGCACTTGGTCATGAGGTCACCATGTGCACATGCTGCAAGAGCCAGGCACACATAGGTCCTCTGTGTTGTTAGTGCCAGTCCCAAACTTTTCTCTGAACTCAGCAGGAGCAGTGCCCCTAGCTGCTGAGCTTAAGCTGTCCACCATGACACGTTGTTGGACTTTAATCTCAGAATGTAATCCCTGAGAGGGCAGAGGCTCCCCTATGCTTCAGAGGAAGTAAAGTTCATCTCTTCCCTTTCCAGAATTCTTAATACAAAAAGAAACCAAACCAAACTCACTGCCGTCAAGTTGATTCTGACTCAGTGATCTCTCCTTGGGTTTCGGAGGCAGTGTCTCTATGGAAGTAAATTGTCCAGTCTTCTTTCAGAGCAATGCTAACCTTCTGGTTAGCAGTCAAATGCCTTTAAGCACTACGCCACCAGAGCTCCCAAGTTCTTAGTAGTAGCCCACTACTATCTCCAGACTCCAGCATCTACCTGAAGCCAGAGGATCTTTTTAAAACCCAAATCTGGCCACATGCCTCCTACTTAAGACCCTCTAGCCACTCCTCGGAAGGAAGGTTGGGCATTCCTAATTCCGTAGTGATACTGCCTCGGAAACCCAAGGAGGGGTCGCTATGAGTTGGGGCCGACTCGATGGCAAATAACAACAACAACAACAGAGGCTTCACCCAGGTCTCAGGGTCAAGACCAAACTCCTAAATATGCATGGTCTGGCCTCCACATCCTACTTGTCTCTTTAGGTACTGTGTGCCCTTCCCAATCTCCCTGGACCTCCTTGCCCTCCGCCTAGTCCCTCCCCTACCCTGTGGCCTTGGTGCCTGCTGTTTCCACCACCTGGAATATTCTTCCTCCCCTTCTTTGCCAAGTTAACCGCTGCATATCCTTCAGATCTGAGCTCCCACGTCACTGATTCAGGGAAGTCCTTCTTGACCTACTTAAGTACAACCTCCTGTATAAACTCATCACATAAACGTTACTGCCCTTGTCCTAGTTGCAACTTCACATTTGATGGCATAAGAATTTCATTAATATTTGTCTCTGCAACTCGACTTTACTCACAAAAGGTCATTTCTATTAATCATTGTATCTCCAGGGCCAAGCACACAGTAAACTTCAGAAAGTATGTATGGCATACTGTCTGTGCACTGTCATGAGACCGAATCCTGGAGTATTTCTCTAAAATCATAGCTATAAAGTGAGGGTTCATTTGCATAACTGGCTATAACTCATGACAGACTGTGAGCACAGGGTGGAGGGCAAGGTCCACAGGGCCCACATGATATTATGTCCAAAGGGCAGGAACAGAATGGAACTGGCCAGAGACCACGACTGTTTTCACTTCAGTAACCTCCACTCCCCCCCAGGTGTACTTCCCTTATTTTCCCTTCTGCTTTGCAGGATTTGAGTCACTAAACCATTAGATCTAACTCTAGAGCACTCTGAGGGTACACCTGTGTTTGTTTTTGAATTCGCAGTGGTTTAAGCTTGTACTGTCAAAAGTAAGTTCACAACATTTGGCTTTAGAAAATAGGATGAAAGAATTATAAAAGAGATAGAGAGTAGTAATTTAAACTTGATATTATACTGGAGATAATAAACATAATATACATAACCTAGCTCCACTGCTAAGCTTGTGGGACGTTTGGCAAATTGCTTCATCTCTCTCTGCCTCATTTTCCTTCTGTAAATTTGGGATGGTAACAGGGCCGATTTCATTTAGTCCTTGGGAAGATTAAATGAAATAATAGAAAAAATGTACACAGAAAATTACCTGCAGCATTCAATAAATATCAGTTACTGTTATTGTTACACACACACACACACACACACATATATGTTTAACATAAACCATTTCTATGGAATGTGTAAAATGTGACTGTACTAGTGTTATTTTTCTCCTTGGTAAGTGCAAATAAATGATAAAGAACAAGTAAAACAACCCAGATGGATAGGTTTTTACATGTCATTGAAATATCCTCACACTCACAAGTAATGCTTGTTAAATGGGCAGTATGGATGGCATGGGTGGGGGTAGACTTCTCAAGAGGTATTTATTGTACAGGAAGAGAAGAGTTACCCAGACTACTGGAAGAAACCCAGTGAATTACCAAATACATTCACAGGAAACTTTAAAAGTTAGCCAGACCTTAGAGAAAAGACAAACAGGTAGATTTATATGCTTGACACCACTAATAGAAAGGGGCAAGAACACAGCCATTTAAGAGTGAAGGTGGAGGTCAAAGTTGCACTGGTACTAATACCCTTCCTGGGTGCCCTGGCAACCAAGGCCCTCATCCCCCGTAATATTATAAGGAGAATAGCCACATGTGAGTCAAGTAAAGAGTTTCTAAGGCAGACACAGGTTAGCTTTGCCTTGGGGAAGGATTTGGGAGGGTTTTGTGCTCAGAGGGCTGAGGACTGAGGTCTGAAGGAAAAGAACCCAAATTAAACATAACAAAACCAAAACCAAACCAAACTCAACTGCCATTGAGTTGATTCCAACTCATAGCAACCTCATTGAGTTTCCAAGGTAGTAAATCTTTAGGGAAGTAGATTGTCCCATCTTCCTCTACGGAGCAACTGGTGGGTTTGAACCACCAAACTTCTTGTTACCAGTCAAATAGCTTAGGCACTTTGCCACAAGAGCACATTTAAACATAACAAGCCCTCCTTGAATGTAAATTAATTAAATTTAGTTTAATTAATCCAGCTCCTCAGTCACACAAGCTACATCAGCACATGTGCTCTTGGGTACCATATTGAACAGTACAGATATAGAACCTTCCATTGTGTTCCATTGGACAATGCCAGTCTATGACGATGTGCTACCCAGGCTGTAATTATTTTATGTCAAATGATGATGGTAGTAAGAGTAAGGAATCCCAAAGCTTAACTCAGTGAGTCTGCAGGGATGGCAGGTCCATGGTGTCCTCCCTGAGCTCATGCTCATGTCACCAGAGCAGTCATCAACCTTAAAGTTTCCACCTCTCAAGTCCAATGAAATTGGTTGATTTGTGTATTTTTTAAAATAAATTTTCCTGATTATAAATGTACTCTTTGCCCTGTATAGATAATTTGGAAAGTAAAGAATATTTTTACACAGAATGTATCATCACTGGTCTTCCAAAAATAGATACTAATTGAATTTTGGAGGTTTTTTTCCCAGTGTTTTTGGTGTATATTTGTTTTACATGCATTTTTTTATGTTCTTAAATTAACTCTGCACCAAGTAAAACCAGTCTCTCTCCTTTTCTTCCTCCCCCGACTCCTTCCTCTTCTTCCACCTCCCCCCAACACTTGCTGGACATACTCCACAATCATCCATGTCTCTGAGCCTTGTCTCCCTTTGCCCACCATTCCCTTCAAGAGCCAATTTTCTAGATGTTTTGTAGATATTCCTGTCAGATCACTGAAACCACAGGTAAAGGTATCTTTCCCTGTCCTCATATTGTTCTGATTTCCTATGCTTATCTCCCACCACTGAGGAGTGGAAGGTGAGGTGCACTGCTCTCCACCCCCCATCCTGCACATAGGGCCATCAAGAGTGAGATGGCTTTGAACATCCGATCCAGCAGGCAGAGATGCTACTTGGGGTTATCCTGTTTCTTCCTCCTTTTCCAGTAAGACTTTTTTTTATGTGTTTGACTTTCATAATTTATTGTATTTCCCATAGTAACTGTTTGGAAGGCACAGAGTTCAGTGAATTTGCTCTTTTTTCTGTAAAAAGGAGATCTCAATCACTCTTCATAAACATTTGTTGTTTTGCCGTTGAGTCGGCCCCGACTCATAGCGACCGCTCCTTGGGTTTCCGAGGCAGTATCACTATGGAAGTAGATTGCCCAACCTTCCTTCCGAGGAGGAAAGGTTCAAACCCACCAGCCTTCTGGTTAGCAGTCAAGTGCTTTAGTCACTACGCTACCAGAGCTCCTAAGATTACAAACATAAATTTAGGAGCTTATGTGTCCAACCAAAACCCTGCTGGCGCCAAGTAAGCTCCAACCCATGGTGACCCTATGTGTGCCAGGTAGAACTGTGCTCCATAGGGTTTCCAGCAGCTGATTTTTTAGAAGTGGATCACCTGCCCTTTCTTCTTAGGCACCTCTGAGCAGACTCAAGCCTTCACTCTTTTGGTTAGTAGCTGAGCACATTAACCATTTGTACCACCCAGGGGCCGTGTGTGCAAGTCCTCCCTAATACCCTAACAGTAAAGTTCAGATCATAAGCTGGTCATTCAGGTGTTGACCATCCAGTCTTGACAGTTCCTCCCGACCTCCTTTACGTATCAACTCTCACGCTTCCTGTTCACCAGTGCTAAGCATTCGCTTTGTCCATTTAGAGTCTTGGAACACAACCTTTAAATCTCTTAGCCTTGGATTATGTCCTTCTCTCTTCTTGGTGGGTCATTCTCCTCTAGTTGAAATCCTCTTTATCTCTCAAGTTCTACTCTTCTTAAGGCCTGATCAAAATTGACCTCTCTCCCTACTATGTTACTAATCCTCCTCCTCTCTTATAGCCCTCATCACTGCCCTATGGGTAATTTAATTGATCATCTGTGTGTGGAAGATGTCTCTTAAATCAGCTGTGATCCCTTTGAGGATAAGGACCAATGCCATTCGTATTTATATCCCCAGTGCTTCACATGGCGCACTGCACATATTAATTGTTTATTAATTGTTTAGTGTGCATGGAATTAAAAGTCCAGTGTACACCAAATTCATGGGTTAAAGATCTTTTAAAAACTCAAAGTTGGAAATATTGTTTATTTCAGATATTTTTATCTGCCAAAAATATTGATTAAAATGAATACTACTCTTTATCTTACTTAAATCCCAAAGCAACTCAATGAATTATATATGATCTGCATTTTACAGATAAACAGAGAGAGGCACAGAGAAGTGAAGTAGTTTGAGCAAAGCAACACAGAGAGGGGAATGTCTCTCTAACCTCAAAGGTCATACTTTTTTTTTTTTTTTTTAAAGGTCACACTCTTTCTATTATACTAAAGACCCTGAGAATCCACAAAACAATTCAGTCACAAGAAGTCAGTCAGGGTTGGGCAAATGGAGAAAGAAAGGATGAAATGGAGGGTGAGGGTGAGAGCAGGTGAGAGAGCTACAACACTCAATAATCACATCTAAGGTAGGAGACCTGAGCCCTGAAGGGCAGCTGGTGGTAGTTGTTCCGCATGATGAGACTGGCAATCAACCCCATGGTGGAATCTACTGTGAGCAGCTGAGTAACTACCTTAGGGATGTGATCTGCTTCCTGTATATAAGGAGAAGCCTTGGGGAACTTCCTGTATATAAGGAGAAGTCTCTAGCCTATGGCACACTTGAACCCTGCATGTAGCCATGTCATTGTTCAACAGCCTGCCATGTCCTGCCGACCTTGGGACTTTCAGTGGACTTGAATTAGTGGCCTGCCGTGTGGTTTGGCCTTTGTACTTGTCAACCTTGGGTTTGTCAGTCTCAGCACCCAGAAAAGCCTCCAGCTTCAGTGGGCCTGGAGCAGGAGGCAGAGCTGAAGCCAAGGTTGAAGGGCTTTCACCCAGCCCCTAGAGCCTGGCACTTTGAACTTGGACTTAAAGCCTCTAAACTGTGAGAGAATAAACTTCTGTTTGTTAAAGCCATCTCATCTGTGGTACATTCTTGTCAGAGCGGCATTAGGTAACCAAAACAGAATGTGGTACTGAGAGAGTGGGGTGCTGCTGACAGGTACCTAAAATGTGGAAACATGAGTGGAGTGCACCCTTGGCCCAAGACCCTAGCAGAGAGACCCTGGCATGTGGCATGATAGATGGCAGCAGCAGAGCTGAGACTGGTAGAGAGACATCAGCAGAGACCAGCATGAAGCAGTAGCAGAGGCCAGAGACCAGCATTAAACAGCAACAGGCTTACCAGCTCATGGAGGAGAAAGCCGGGTCCTGTTGGGTAGGTGGCTTCCTGGTGGAGTGGGTTGCCTGCAGGCATTAATTGGTAGAAGAGACTGGCATGAGACGGAGTAGTAGGATGGCTGGCCCATGAAGCAAGAAAGGTAAGTGTCCTTTGGGCAGAAAGATTTCCGGTGGAGTGGGTTACCCTCAGGCATTAATTGGCAGAAGTGGAGACCAAGGAAATGGGAGGCTGAGCTTCCTCATCCTCAAGGGTAGGACCATGGCCCTTGGGGGTGGAACCACCACAGCCCCCCTAGATTTCAAAGAGCCAGACCTTCACCAACTTGGTTCTGGAGTGTGGGGCTGCTTGTTCATGTGAGCTAGTGGGATGGAGTCATAGCCACTGTCCAAAAGTGAGGGAGCAGGGCTGCCATACCCAAGAGGGAGAGGAACCAAGGGGTGAGGTCACCACTCAGAGGAACTAGGGGACCGGAGTCACCCAGTGAAGGAGATCTGTACAGATACCACACATTGAAGATCCGTACAGATGCCAAGTTGACAAGGGGTGGTAGTTAAGGTCATGTGTCAACTTGTCTGGGCATGGTTGAATGGCTGGGCAGCTGGTGGAAGTTATTCCCCATGATGAGACTGGCTGTCAACTCCATGGTGAAATCTACTGTGAGCAGCTGAGTAGCTGTGATCTGCTTCCTGTATATAAGGAGAAGCCTTGGGGAACAGTCTCCAGCTTATGGAACGCTTGAACCCTGCATGTAGCCATGTCGTTGTTCAACAGTCTGCGATGCCCTGCCAACCTTGGGACTTTCAATGGACTTGAATTAATGGTCTGCCGTGTGGTTTGGTAACATTAGGACTGTGCCTTTTCACTTGTTAACCTTGGGTTTATCAGCCTCAACAGCCAGCAGCTGCCTGAGTGAAGAAAAGCCTCTAGCTTCAGTGGGCCTGGAGCAGGAGGCAGAGCTGAAGCCAAGGTTGAGGGGCTTTCACTCAGCCCCTACAGCCTGGCACTCTGAACTCAGACTTAAAGCCTCCAAACTGTGAGAGAATAAACTCCTGTTTGTTAAGGCCATTTGTGGTATATTCCTGTCAGATGGCACTAGGTAACCAAAACACACAGTGAATGCCCATGAAAGCAGCAGTCAAGAAATCAAAGAATGTATTACAGGTAAATCTGCTGCAAAATACCTCTTTAAAGTGTTAAAGAGCAAAGATGTCACTTTGAAGACTAAGGTGTGCCTGACCCAAGCCTTGGTATTTTCAATAGCCTCGTAAGGTTGGGCAATCTACTTCTGTAGTGATACTGCCTCGGAAACCCAAGGAGGGGTTGCTATGAGTCAGGTACAACTCAACGGCAGTGCATATACATATGAAAGCTGGACAGTGAATAAAGAAGACTGTCAATGAAGTGATGCCTTTGAATTATGGTGTTGGTGAAGAATATTGAATATACCACGGACTACCAGGAGCTCTGGTAGCATAGTGCCTAAGGCACTTGACTGCTAATCAGAAGGCTGGCGGTTCAAACCCACCAGCCACTCCTCAGAAGGAAGGTTGGGCAAT